ATGTATATATAATGCTGTAAAAGGAAAGTTTATACTAGGCTGGCCAGTTACCATAGAATAGCACTCAAATAGTTCAAAAAGAGATCAAAATTTCATTTACTTCAAGCAAAAGAAATAAAAGAAAATGAATATAATCATGCAAATTATAAACTAAAAATATTCACAAGGATTTCAGACCACCTATAAAGGATAATTCAAGATCTGACTCAAAAATTGTGAAATGACAGGAAATAGGGCTACTTTAGGAAATCAAAGTATGATTAGGAGACCATTAATCACATCAATGGACTTCTAAGTACATCAACTCTGACTGGATCCCATAATCAAGTATAGTATATCACAATGCCAAACTCTAGAAAAACCCTCTTTAAGGGACAAAAATGTTGGAAGACCATAATTCCTCCTGTAATAGTAGAATAGACAGAAATACACATACACGCGCACACACACACACAATGTATGTTCCTTGTACTTTTAAAAGAAACCACTTCCTGGTCAAGAAAAACAAACACACTTCTGATTGCACACATATAATGGCACTACTAGCATTCAAGCCATCCATCTTTAAATGTCCTATATAGCAAGCAGACAGGCTGAGAAAATGTTTTCACAGATTAATCCCTAGAGGAGAAGCCTACAAACTGCTTGTTTGGTTCATAATAAAGTTCTGAGGCCTTTGGAAATAATTTGATTCCTTCTTTGGTGAATTCCTCATTGCTGGATTTTCTTTTTTCCATTCCTTCCTTTTCATTCTGAAACTTGCTCACTCTATTATACAAATACATTCCTATATTTGTCGGTACTTTCAATGCATTTTGGTGCTCATTCTATCCTGATATACAAAGGAAATGCTTATATGAAGATATACAGATGCCTTATATTTATAAATTATAAATCAGGATATCTGTGATAACTCAGACTCTGAGAAGCATTTCACTATTTTATAATTTAACAACATAAATTTCCTATGCTTTGGTTCTTTCATTTTCCTACTTGCAAATAAATTTTTTAAAAAAATTTTCAAGTACTCATTCAAAGCCAAAATAAAGACATATATGTTCGTGTATACCCCCTCCACATACACACACAGGCACACAAACACTGAAGAGAAGCTATAAAACCTAGACCAGAAGAATGCCATGCATAAGAACCAAAAGGCCAATCCTGTTTTCACTTTTCCTGTTAAAAAGAAGGAAAAGAGAGAGACAAGTCTTATAGATTAGAATCATATAAAATGTAATTTAAATATACTTTTGTAATTTCTAGTAGTTATAGTAACATTTTTATGTATAACAGCTTTATTGAAATATAATTCACCTACCATAAAATTCACCCTTTTAAAGTATAAAATTCAGTGGTTTTTAGTATATTTACAGATTGTGCAACCGTTGCCACAATCTAATCTCGGAACATTTTCATCATCCCAAAAAAGAAACACCATACCCATTACCAGTCACTCCCCATTCCCTCTTCCCTCCAGCCCCTGGCAACCACTAATCTACTTTCTGTCTCTATAGATTTGCATATTATGGACGTTTCATGTAAATGTAATCATAAATGTGTGGCCTTTTGTTTCTGGCTTCTTTCATTTAGCATAATGTTTTTCAGATTTATCCATGTTGTTGCAAGTATCAGTACTTCATCCCTTTTAGTGACTAATAATATTCCATTACACAGATATACTACATATTGTTTATCCATTTGTCAGTTGAGGAACATTTGGGTTGTTTCCATTTTGAGGCTATTATAAATAATGCTACTATGAACATTCATTTACAAGTTTTTGTGTGGACATATGTTTTCAATGCTGGGTCATATGGTAACTCTAACTATTTAAGGAACTGCCAAACTGTTTTCCAAAGTGGCTGTACCATTTTACATCCCCACCATCAATGGATGAGGGTTCCAATTTCTCCACATCCTCACCAACACTTGTTATTGTCTTTTTTATTATAATGCTAGGCCTCCTTTATGAAAATCTGTTTGGTATGTAGCTCTAGCTTTTACAATAAAACAATACACATGCTGAGGTCTCCACAGTTCATTTCCCAACACTTTGAGGTAACTTATCATTTTGTTTACATTATGTCCTAGCAAACTAATGAAAGGTAAATTTTAGCTCAGTGCAAGTCAAACTATTTCAAATATGTGAAATTTTCAAGTACCCAAAATGTAACTGAGAATAAGACTAGCAAGCTTTTTTCGTGATACGGAGCCTTGTTGCTCAATCATTCTAGGCTTTAAAAGAAAAGAATGTTTAGAACAAGCAGGAAGTGGGAGAACGCGAGCATAGCGAATGAGAGAAAGTGAAAATGATGCCTCACCATATCGAGACCCAATCTATTAACACCAAAGTGTTGTGAAATACTGAAGGTACAATAGTCAGAATGGAAATAGTCTGATTTTACAGAAAACACTCACACAAGACTTTTTTTTCTAAACAAGCCTTTAATTTTTTTTCATTTTTTATCCAAACCTAAGTAACTTTTCATTAAATTCACAAACACAGAAAAATTCCAAAAGGTAAGAATCTCTTAATGTCTCTAAATGCAAATTCCTAGGGGAAAGAACTAGCAATGAAAGCCTAGCAAGGATTTAAGGGATTATAAAAAGATGAAAAATGCAGCTGGAGACTGACCTCAGAGCTGCCAGGCTGGTGTGGATAGCTGACGAACAAGAGGATTCAGCTTTCCTCAACCAAGCTCTCTTTAGAATATAGAATACTCCTATTAAGCTGAGACTTCAGAGAGTATACTGCAGTCCAGAGTTGGGCAGTAATTTGCTCACGGTGAGCCAGCTAATTAGTGACAGAGGTAGGAATGTTTTTGTTGTTGTTAGTTGCTGTCAAGTCGGCTCCTACTCATGGCAACCTTACATATAAGGGAACGAAACATGTTCGTGATCATTGGTATGTTTGAGCCCATTGCTGCAGCTATTGTGTCAATTCATCTCACAGAGGTGAGGATACACCCTAGATTTTCTGACTCTAGTTCAAAATTTTTTCTAGTATCACACTTTAGCGTGGATTTTTTTTAATTAAAAATTAAATGATTGTCTCACTTGATAATTCTGATCTCATACCTGAAATGCTTCTGCCTAAAGAAGATAAATAATAATGCAATAGCATTCATCAGTAGCCAAAGGGTAAACAGCGCTAGACTTCCTGTCTACTGGAAATCTGTAGGAATAAAAAGAATTTTAAAATATTAATATTGTCCATGGAAAGCATTTTATGCCAAAGTAGTGTCTGACAATTTAAATTCTAGGCAGCCTGAGGAACTGACAAACAAGAGGATCTTGTAATAAATTTGTATGAATTTCTCTCTGCTATAATAGGAAGCTATTTTCTAGTTTAAATATTGCCAGGAAAACAAAAAAACACTTAAGTACCAAACCAGCTGGCTGCTCCATCACCCATACGATGGATGGGTAAGGTTGAAACAACATTTTAATTCACATACCAAGTTCAAATTGGCACCTTCCCAAGAATATATTTCACCTAATTTGGAAGCAGCATTAACATCCATCAAATTTAATATCTAATGTTAAATAGAACT